TAAGTTTCTACAATATTTAGTAGTAGCTTATCAGTGGTGACTGTCAGTTTATGTACATATGGCAGAAATGTACTGAAAAATAAATTAAAGACTGTAACAAACGTTCGTAGGTCGGGAAGAAGGAGGCGGGAACTGGCAAACATTTAAACACTTTAATAAAATAAACAAACACAAAATGAAAGTAAAGCGGCAGCCCCTCGTGGACGACTGCCGCACACAAAACACAAAACAAAATCCAGTCCTGGTCCTCTCTCATCCAACACTGTCGTCACTCCTCCTTTTATCCTTCCGGAGCTCCTCCGTGGGACTTGAGACCGGTGAGTGGCGCAGGTGTCGCGCATTAGCATTTACTCCACCGGCCTCGCTCCGTTAACCCGGCTCTCAGCCCCGCCCCTCTCGTCACAACCTTTAATAATGTGGAAAACATCCCCAATCTACTGATCCGTTTCCAGACCCCATCTTCACACGTGACCCAGTTGAATCTGGACATCTCTGCAACAAATCCTGCTTTTTCATTTCCAGCGATATCTGATTCTGATGGGAATAATTAGAGGCATTTATTTCCATCAGGAGGGCAGTGGTGAGAACTGGAGCATGTCTAAGCGTTATTAGCTCATAACGTGAATCATCATCGGGCCTCAGAGAGAGACGGTGCAGCGCGCTGCTTTGAAGAGCGATGTACAATCAGCAGACCTGTCGAGACGGTTCACTTGAGCGCCATGAATCACTTACGCATTCAGTGCAACACTTCAATTCTAAATTCAAATCCCCGCGATATGACCTGAAAGAGCTCTCAATTACTGAGATATTGTGGCAAGCTACTGGGCTTTATTTCCAGGAATATCTCAATTTGTCTGTGCTGTTGCGTATTGAGCTGACACCTCCTGCATACAAAGGAAGCATAGGAGATGTTTTCTGCAAAACTTTACTCAATTTTGTTTGGTCAAACTTGTCTTTGATCCAGTACTATTTCTATGTCAGTTTAGGGAAGTAACTAAAAGTAGTGACACTGTTTTATTTTTATACATTTTTATTTATACTACTATTCATGAATATTTTGAATTAACATGCATTGTTATATTTTTTTATTAATTTTAGTATTTTTATGTACTTTTATTGTTTTTAGTTTTAGTAATTTTATTAATTCAACTTATTTTGTTTCAGTTACTTGACAGGGAAACATTTCTAATTTAAATTTTTGAAATTTCAAGTTTTTCATCTAATATTTATATTTATTTTAGCTTTAATTCAAGTAATGAAAATGTTTTTAATAGTTTATTTCAATGAACAATAACAATACAAAATGAATATTTCCTGTCTAGTATATAAATAAAAACCACGACTTGATAAATGTAGTTTACATTTTTCAAGCTGTTTTTTTAATTTATATACTATTATAGTATTTATTCATATTTTAAATTGAACTTTTAATATTTTCAGTTTTAATTTTAGTTTGTAGTAATTTTCTATATGCTTTTGTCATTTTTAGTATTATTATTTTTAAATTTCTTTATAGGATTTAATTTTTACATTTTAGTTTTAGTAATTTTAATACTTCATTTCAGTGAGATACCAAGGCGACATTTCAGTTAAAAAAAAATATTTTTTTTTTAAAGTCTTTTAAGTTTAAGTTTTTCATCTAATATTTATATTTTAGCTTCATTTAGGCTAATGAAAATGTGTTTTAACACTTTTAGTGAACAACAACAACTTTTATTACTGTAGTTATTGTTTTTTATTTCTATCATTTCTAATATTTATAATTTTCTCTTTCTTATTCTTTATATTTATTTCCATTTTAGTTTGAGTAATTGAAATACTTCAGTATATTTCAGTTGTTATGTAGTGCACTTTGCGCTTTAGCTTGAGCGTTAGTTTTCCTGTTTGCACGAACTGTTTTCGTCTCTCTGTGTTTTGGATGGTGGTATTCTTTCACGCAAACACAACCACGCCACACTGACACAGCAGCATCAC